AGACTCCTCGACTACAATGGCCTCTTCCAGCTTTAGCATCTGCTGTTCAGGTCAGCATACAGGCACCACCACAATGGCCAAACTAACGGCCCATCTCCTCCTGTATCCCATTATTGAAGAGAGCCAGGTCTCAGTTCTTCAGCAGAAGGTGCAAGAAACTGCATAGACAAGTGATTCTTAAACCACAAGATCCTTTTAAGAGTGCTGCAAGGTGCCCTGCAATATTAACTCTGTTACGTGTGCAAACACCTACATGATTCACAACATAAAACCAGAGAGTTGAAACAGGAAACCATAGTCTCAACAACATGCAGTCCTCTTATGATCTTTGCAACAGACCTGCTCTATTATTTTTCCACAGTGAAATAAGTGAAAACTAAGACTTGACATTTTCTGAGGAGTGCCTTGAAGTTAAAAATTTTGAGAACCACTGGTATAGATGATAGGAAAGAGAAAATTGCTTCTTAGCTCATCAATTAATGGCCAATTACTATCTTGTTTTTAATTAAAAAGCACAAAGGTATATATTGCTCGTTTTTTAAATCCCATCTAGTGCCATAGTGAAAGCACTGGATCTCCGCAGCGGGGGAGCGTAGGGGGCGGGACTGCCGGCAGGCATTTCCAGGAAGACCGGAGCACCTGATTGGCTGTTGGGGCAGCAACGGGAAATTCACCTAGCCCCTGGCATTCCGGAGCCAGGAGCAGAGAGGAGAGGAGGGATCCAGGCACATGTGTGTCCTGCAAACATGTGCCCCCTTACCTGACCCGAGGCAGAGGCGGACGCAGCAGCAGCAGAGCCAGCAGCGGGGGCAGCATCAGCTGATCCCCCTAAGGTAAGTGGGCAGAGGGACCGGACACAGCTGAGCCGGATCCGGAGGGGAAGCCCCCCGTATCCCTCTTAGATGAGCCGGTAGGGAGCCGCGCTGCACGAACAGAGCGCACCGGTGTTTGCGTCAGCGTTCGCGCCGGCAGGCGAGCAGGAAGGACCAGGAGGGAGACTCCTGCTAGGGCAGGGCAAAGGCACTGCACTAAGCGATAAATAAACAGCAACTCCTACAATGGTGTTGACACGGAGTGCTGCTAGGGCCCCTGCCCGGGGTTTGTCTGAGGCCTCCACCTAGACAGAGCCCATGGGGGAGCTGGCGTCCCCCCACCCCCTGGCCTGCCGGGGTTGCCCAGCAAGGCCCGGGGGGGCAG